CCACAATATAAACAAGCTGCTATTAACATCCTAGGAGACACTTACTGATTTAAAAGTTATGCCTCCATTAAGACTGACCTAGTAGTTTTTAAACCCTTTTATAAATATAGTGCAACACCTATTTTCCATTTGTTTTAAAAAACGCACGAAAATGATATCAATGTTGATAAATCTCACACCATTCATCACACTTTCCCCAAAGAACAATGAAAATGTATCTTGAAGAGACACTTCCAATTCCATTCATAATTATTCTTCATACCTTTAGGTTGCATTGACAGCAGACATACAATGAGTTTTATGGCAACCATATTTTACCTTCGTCCATTTGCATCACAATATTCGATTTCCAGCATACAAACTCTTGATAAAGTGCCCACTACAACATTTCCTCTTCCAGGCACACGAATGATTTTTAAATTGTACGGCTGGAGGATTAAGCTCCACCAAAATGCCTGTAAGTTCACGTGGCCCAAATAATTTATCATCTCTTCCACATTATTGGTGATTGGATTTTGAAATGACATAGAGCCAAATCAAGACTCAATGTCTCCTTCTCCACTGTTGAATATTTCCACATTTTCGCAGAATTATTGTGGTGCATGAAGCCATTTGGCCCATTGTGCTTGTGCTGAATTTATTATCTGGTGCTAATCTCCTGCCTTATCTCCATATCCTTGTACACCATCTCTACCTAAATAAGCATCCAATGCCCTCTTGAATGCTTTAAGGTGCCACTTAGCCTTGTCCCACTATGTAACCCAAATAAGTCAATCATAGCAATGTTGTTGGCATGGCATGACTTGGCACTGATAAAGTCCAGATGGTGCTATAAAAGCTAATATTCCTTTGGCTCTATCAGTCAATGGAACTTTTTAAAATATTTGGCAAGTCAATTTTGGTGATGAATCACACGTCCATTTTATCATTACACTCTCTGAATTATGGAATAAGATATGAATCCACTTTTGTTACCACATTGACTTGACAAATCAATCTCGAAGCTTTGCAAACCATCCAGTTTCAGCACCATGACAAGTGAGCTCCAGCTACTCTGATTCAATTCAATAATATCATTGTCCAGCATGAACCTAAATCTTTCCCTCACGAACTAATTTCTCGTGATCGAGTCTGCAAGGATGTTGTTTTATACACAGGGCATCCCCACAGTAACATCATGAACAGCCAAAACTGGTCTTTCAGCTTATTCTCACAAATCAACTCAAGATTTTACAATAGCCTTGCTAAGATACCTCAATGGTTTTCTGAAAGATAGAAATTGTATTTTTGCTTCACTCCCTATTATTTCTTTCACCATCATAAACAGACTTTTCTCCTTTCATTCCTGTCATCTCTTCAACATATTAAGATGACACGGTCACTGATTCTCTCTCCTGACTGGTGAACCCATTGCATAATTTACTTTATTAAATATATTTTTGATTTGCTAAGTTAACCTGGCTTTTAACGGTTTCCAATGGACAGATAACAATACTGACACCTTGTCTCCAGCAACAAAAGCTTGCTCTTTGGTTTTCTTTTAGCTGCTGTAGCTTTCAATGTCACATGCTTCTCAGCAGACACAAATGTTTTGGTTAGTTTCAGTCTGAAACATAAGTTGGAAGTGTAGTTTCTGAGCTTTGGTTCATCAATTTTTTACATTCAATTTAAGGGAAGCCTTCCGCTCATGTGCAAGTATCAGTTCAAATGGACTGAATCGCCCAGGCTCATTAGGAGCATTCCTAATGACACAGAGTAACAAGAAAATTTGTTTTCTCCCCAATAATTCAGACATTCTAAACACTAAAATCCAATCACAGTTTTCACAGTTTGAAGTCATTTTTCGAATTCACCTTGACTTGTAGATGTTCAGTGAAAGATATAAATTATCTTATTCTTAAACTGAATCATCATTCTTTGAACATTTGCAAGATAAAATTTGAACCATGAACTAACTGTTTTTTTTGAGTGATCAACATTTTGTAAAAAAATTGAACTAAAAATTTCCACTAGCATTTTTGCAGTGATTTTTCCTCAAAGCAAAGCTGCAGGAAATCTCATTGAGATATCCATAATCGTTAAAAGATACTAATGTCCATTCCTGGCTTTAGATGGGATACTAAACAATCCAGTGAAGATCTGCTAAATGGTTCATTAGTAAGCTGAATTCGAATTAGAGTTAGAATTAGCTTTATTGTCACATGTACTCAAATGAGTACAATGGAAAGTGTACAAGTTGTCACTTACAACATCATCTTACATACAAAGGTCCCTAGGGTACAGCTTTTTCGGTTACAGTTCTTAGAAGAATAGAGAAGTAAAAACGTCCAGAATTGCAGATTTAGGAATAAACTATAAAATGGAGAATAAAAGCTGGTATCAGAATTAAAACAACAGGCTTATTTGATGGTTGGAGTTTTCCCACTACCTGACATGTATGGCATGTCAGGCAAAATTTGACCACATCCTGACCAATAAAAAAAATATAATATTTCAGCCCAAGTTTTCTAAGCAATCAGCCTTTGGAATTGAGTCACTTGTAAAATTTCATTATAATACTCAGATGGAAATACCACCTGATGGACCTCTGCCCAATCCTCATCGGCTGTTATTTAAGATGGTCTCCACTTCCTCATGAGTACACTTTGTTTCCATTGTTTATGATTCACTTCACAGAATGCAAGAAAAAGCTCAGATTCTGATCGAAAGCACCACCTTTCAGGCGAGTTAGGAGGATGGCAGGTAAACCAGTTCTGAAACAGGGTCAGAGATAGTAGGAACTGCAGATGCTGGAGAATCAGAGATAACAAGGTTTAGAGCTGGATGAAAACAGCAGGCCAAGCAGCATCAGAGGAGCAGGAAGGCTGACGTTTCAGGCCTAGACCCTTCTTCAGAAATTCA